CAAGCAGTACATGTAACATCCTACTGAATCGAATCGTTATATAGAGTCGAGTCGAGTCGGGCCGAACTAGAACCCGGTTCGAGCCATTTAAATCCAGAGTAGGGTAGAATGGGATGTGAACTAAAATAAGTAAAAGAAGTGGACTTACTTGAAACTTGAAATTGAAACAAAAAGTCAAAGTATAAGCGAGTAGGACTTACTTGCACTAAAATATAACGTTTAGTATTTAAAATGTAACATATGGAAAATTGGTAGCTACTAATTTTTTTTGGTTAATTTTAACACACATCAAAGATATATTGGATTACATGAGACTTCCATTTCAGTTTCCTTCTTCATTTTCTTCATCTTCATCTTCAACGTCTTCTTCATCTCATCTTCCTCTTCATCTCCTTCATCTTTCTCTTCATCTCCTTCATCTTTTTCTCTTCATCTCCTTCCTTCCTCCATCACTTTTCATGTTGATTTTTAAAAACAATAAATTCCAATCTAGAACTTTATCAAGTTAAGTAAGCCTTTCTTAAATTCAATACTTTTGTGATATTTGAGCATGATTTATAAGAGTTTATGATGTATAGGAGAGGGGAGCTCAAAGTTGGAGGAAAAGGAAGCTAAGAAGAAAAGATTTTAAAGGCTCTTTTTGGTTAAAGGTTTGATATTCTCTTTTTATTTATTTCACATTGTCTTGCATTGAGCACTTATTGTAGTGTGTTGATAATTTCAAAGGATCTGTTGCTGGAATGTTGAATTAGAGGTCTGTAAATGGTGATAAAGCATGGGATGAATTGAAATGAATGAAGTAGGATATTTGATTCATGGTGATTTCATGCTGAACCAGGTTTGTTGGATCATTGACCAGTAACTTCACCCTAATTTTGACTCTATTTAACGATGGAATTAGGAAGTGGTATAGAAGAGTTATTTGTTCCTCTGTGTTTTAGCTGTCCATGAGTTGTTGAATCACCTAATTTGGAGTTATAAATTGAGAGATATGATCAAAATAGTATAGACTGTATAGGCTAGAAATCAACAGTCTGGGCGGACTAGAAGTTCTAATTTAGGTAAATATTTGACTACCTTAACAACGTAATTAAGAGATGTGGTAGAAGACAAATTTGTACCCTAATGTGTTAGCTAACCATAGAATGCAGTCACCTATATGGAGTTATAAATTGAGAGCTTGTGACCAAAATAGTTATAACCTAGCAGTCTATGGCAACAACAGGCTGGGCAGACTGCAGTTAGCTGGGCAGACTGGCAGTTGCTACTTGAGCTCAATATTTTACTACCTTATCAACGTAATTAAGAGATGTGGTAGAAGACAAATTTGTATCCTAATGTATTAGCTAACCATAGAATTGAGAATCACCTAAATTGGAGTTATAAATTGAGAGAGATGACCAAAAGAGTACAGACTATGCAGGCTGGAAACCAACAGCTGGGCAAACTGGCAGTTGCTACTTGAGCTAAATATTTGAATACCTTACCAATGTAATTAAGAGATGTGATAGAAGACAAAGTTGTACCTTAATGTGTTAGCTAACAATAGAATTTAGAATTACTATAATTGGACTTATGACTACAGAGTTATGCTAGAAATTGTGAAACATGTACAGGCTGCCCTGTCAGATTTCAAGGTTACATTAGAAATGATGTTGGGATGTATATGTAGCTTCATGTATATGTAGCTTCATGTAGCCTAAGATTAGTACTGACTTTGAACCTTCTGAGTTGAGTTAAATTAACAGCAATAAATTCCTTAATATGACCGGTAGAAATTAGGTTATTTCATGATTGGTACAAGTTGCATCGTGGGTGCATCAATTAGATTTCCAGGCAAATTAGTTTACAAGTGATCAATTGTGTGCATTTACTTCTATTTATCTATGAAATCCTCTTAAAGCATGAAGCAGGTTAGAAACATACAGAATGAGACAACATATAGGTAAACAGTATGGTTTATGCATGTGACGAAGAATTTAATATGCTTTTGTTTTGTATTATTGAAATACCAAAAATATGCTCCATTGAGGTTAGGCAGAAACCATGTAGATAAGACTATGTCGCGACATAGGATAGCAGATCTGCATCCCATACAGTTTGGTACTCCGGCTACAGGTACTCCGGCTACAGGCTTCGGTTTCACTATAACCTTATGGAGCCATACAGTTATGAGATTATATTATTTATCACTTATATGATGTAGACTCAAAATTTCATAAGTCATACTGCATAATGAACAACAAGTAAGTTAAGGAAAGTATAATGAAATGTGTGTTTATATGTTTCTTTATACATTGATATCATGAAAGTATAATGATATGTGTGCTTGCATGTTTCTTTGAGCTATCCACTGAGCTTTATTTGCTCAGCGAGTTACTTGTTTAACTTGTAGGTTTTGGAACTGGACCGTAGAGAGTCATCTGACAATTGCTGCAGTTCATCTTTTGAAGATCCAGTCTTCAAGGTAGCTACTCATTTTGATATTTTGGTTCTGTTTATACTTATCATGGCATGTACATGGCATATTCTTTAATTACATTGAATAATCATGAAAGTATAATGATATGTGTGCTTGGCATGTTATTTGAGAATATCCACTGCAGCTTTTACTTTGCTTCAGCGAGTTTACTTGTCCTTAACTCGTAGGTTTTTGGAACTGGACGTACAGGTCATCTGACAACTGCTGCAGTTCATCTTTTGAAGATCCAGTTCTTCAGGGTAGCTACTCATTTTGAAGTATGTTGGTTCTATTTATACTTATCATGGCATGTACAAGGGCATTAGTTTGGGCCATTCATTTTGGAAACTAGTAATGTCAATGTAACTATGAAGTTACATATCTATAATTATTAAATACATGTAAAAGGCAACAGTTTTTGACATCAATAATTCAGCATCAAGAATGATAATTAGCATGAAAGGAACATAGGTTCAACAGATTGAGCGTCTCGGCTCGGTTCATTCCGAAGTTAACGGGGGACTGGGAAGGGAATGTTACAGTACAACTTAAGACTCAATCCCAAAATAAGTGGGTGTATTCAGAGTAACGAAAGGTGAAGCTGTTAGGTTTTGTTGTAGGACCTAAAAGGGATTGAGGTTGGACCCAGAACAAAAATTAAAAGGCGACTTCAGGAATATGGAACCGCTAAGAACGCGAACGTCAGGTGAGGAGCTTCTTGGGAAAAATCCAGTATATTAGCTGGTTTTATTCTAGGGCTTCCATCACTTGTGTCCGATTTTCAAGTTGCTTAAGAAGAATCAAACCAGTTAAATGGAATATGAGGGACTGCCAGAACAAGCCCTTTGATAATATAAAGAAGTACTTGATGAATCCCCACTAGTGTTAGTTCGCTAGCCCGGGAGAGCCTCTGATCCTGTACTTGTCTATAGAGGATGTGTTAATGGTCCCCTTCTTATCAAGAGTTGGTAAGCCCTATGATTTGGACGGACTATCAGCACCATCGCCACGTTGCTAGAGTAGAAAAGGCCACTATTACATCAGCAAGAAATTACTAACCTATCGAGGAGAAGTAATAATTTGGTGGAGAAAACCATGTATGGCAGTATGTGTGGTCGATAAAGAAATTGAGGCCTTACTTTGATTCCTTAAAGGTCACTTTCGTTTCTAAAATTGATCCTATGAAGTTATCTTCAAGAGGAACCCTACTCTAGAAGGAGCGACTGTCCAAAAATGGCTAAATCCAAGATGTCCAGTGTGGATGCAGAGTTTGTCACGAGAAGACGGTCCAAAGGTGGGTTGTGGCAAGTTGTTCTGGCTGAAAATCCCATTGTAGATGGATGAGTCATGGAAATTGGGAATTTCCAGATGAACATTTATTGTGTGTTGAAACACAGGGGTTTTTTGAGAAATTGTAACTTCGACGGGTCAAGCCAATAGAAACAGAGCCGGAGCTGGTATTATGATAGAAGCACCCAACAGCAGAAGCAGCAACAATGTGGCAAAAGGTTGTTGCTGCCAGCCTAATAATATGGCCGAATATGAAGCTGCATCATGGGAAAGAGGCTCTCCTTGGCAATCAAGGCCGCTAAGGAAGTAGAGGTGATAGGGGATTTCCGCTGTTGGTTATCGAACATGCTAAACGAGAGATGGAAAGTGGAGGAAGAAAGGTTAAAAGCCCTATGTTGAGTACTTGTTAAAGAAAGCGGCGCTCTTTGACTGATCGATCAACTTTTACTCAACGATAGGAAGATTCCATAACAGAATCCGTAGATGCTTTGGCAAACCTGGCGTCAGCTTGGCAGGATTTAAGTAAAGTTCCAAAGAAGCCATTTATCATTACCTCTGTCCCGCAGACAAAATATCCCGGTGCTATGAAGAACATTTTGTGAATCAGGTTGGAGTCAGAAGAAGAACCCTGGTTAAACGGATATCCTGCGGTACATGAAGATGGAACCTTTTCTGATGATGCGACCAAAAGGAAGACGTTCGTTCTTTAAGAAAAAATGGCTTTTGAAATTATGTCCTGGCTGATGGTGAACTCTATAGGAGGGCTTTTGGGTACGAGGATGGCTGCTAGATGCGTGGTAAAAAAGGAAGGGGGAAGAAATATGAAGAAAATCCATGAGGGAGTCCTACGGTCTCATTTGAGCGGCATGTGAGTTTTAGCCAGAAAAATTATGAGGCAAAGGTTATTTTTTGGGTGGCAGATGGAAGGTGATTGTGTCAACATATGTTCGCTATTGTAAAAGCCTGGCCAGTAAACATGACAATAGAAACCACTTGCCTGCGCTGAACTCCAATCCAACAGCTCCTTCTTGGCCTTTATTCAGCATGGGGTATAGACATTATTGGCAAGAATCAACGCACAGCACGCATCGAATGGTCATCAGTATATCTTGGTTGCCAGTAGACTACTTTTCTAGGTGGATTGAGGCTCAATCCTACAAAACTTTGAACCGCCAAAACATGATGGCTAGATTCATTGAACAGAATAATTTCTATCGCTATGGTGTTCCCCATCACATAGTTATAGACAATGGGTCTCATTTTTCAAGCAGATGTCGGTCAGTTGCTAAATATAGATATAAGGTTGAGCATCAACCAATTCTCTCCTTATCGACCTCAAGCTAATGGTGCACGTGGAAGCCGCGAATTAAAGGAGATTAAGAGAATACTGTCCAAGATGTGCGAAAGGTATAGAAGCTGGGCTAGAAACTTCCTTTTGGCACTTTGGGGGCTCGCACTACATTCAAGTCAGTCAAATGAAGCTTCTTCCCTTGAGCTTGTAATATGGGATGGAAAGCAGTATTACCCTATAGAGCTCAGAAAAGAAGTCTCTCAGGGTTCTGTGGAAGCTGGTTCCTGACCGAAGAAGAATGGGGGGTCAAGAAAGTATGAGGATCTGGCGCTCTTAGATGGAAGAAGATTGAAAACGCCCGATTTCTAGGATCAGAATGAGAAAGAGAAGGATTGCTCATTCTAACAACAAACGGGTAACCCAAGGGCTTTGAAAAATAGGGATTTAGTATTGATTCAGGTTGTTTGGACCATGAATCCCAGAATCATCCTCCTGGAGGGAAATTTCAGACCTAAACTGGCATGGACCATTCAAATTCAGAAGCTATAAGCTAAGGTGCCAACTTGAATTATCCCAAATGGAAGGGAAGCTTGTCAATCGGATTGTCAATTAGGAACCAAATGAAAAGATTCCTATGTCCTGGAAATGACTGATTTTCGATTACAAAAAACAAAAAAAAAAAAAAGAGAAGAAGGAGCTAGGCTGAAAGCCCGAAAATGGGCGGCCTAGTGCAAGTGTGAACCCCTAACCGTCCAAAACAATCATGCATATGCATGTGACTAAGGAAGAAATGCACGTGATGTGTGAGTCCGCCATCCGTTGTTTAATTGTTTTGGGTAAACTAGGAAAAAGCCCTGAGGTGACTCCAATTTTAATAACCTAATTACTAGATTAATTAACCCAATGGTTAAGGCATGGTCCTATACGAACCC